ATCAAATAGTTGTCAACCAAGTACTCTCACAAATATCTCCCATGTTCACAGAACATCGTATTTTAATTTCATGTTGCAGTTTGCTGTAGCAATTTTTATTCTGCTACTGGATTATTATTTGTCCAGGCTCTGGAACACCTTGTGACACCATAATTTCCAAATGTGACATGAGAATTTTGATGTCTGTGTAACGGGGAAAAAAAAGAAAAGCTAACAAAAATGATTATTCTAAGATTAGATAAAATAAGATAGACCAAAATACCTGTCTCTCCTCTGACTGTGCTGTCCTAACTACAGCTAAAACATCCTTTCTACATAAGAATCTGACATCAAGGGTTGAAAGGCTGTATGTATCTAAAAGGATGCTTACAAGTTTCAGTTTTAGCAATATTCTCAATATTAAATACTCTATGTTCTGTATGTTATCACTTTTGCATCTCTTAATTTAGACAGTTAAATTGATTTAACTTCTGGTAACAAAAATACTCATTTTAAGAGTCTCTTCTCAGTATTAATAAACAATTTTGACAATGTTAATCTTTTCAATATTTAAAATGCAGAGATAAATATAAATTTATCATATTCTCAAATAATGAACTCACTAAAATGAGCTCCTTTTTGATCACTGTGGTCATTTAACTTGTTTTAACATGGAGAGGTCCAAGGCCTCTTAGTAATTATTCATTCACCTCCTAAAAACCCTGTGAGTCTCAAAAATAAATATGACCTGATTTTTTCTGAGCGAAATGAAAACAACAACAACAACAATAAAAACAACTATTCTTATTGACGTGTTTGAATGACAGCTATTTAACATCCCTATAATTCATTCAAATCCTGCAATCTCTATTAAAATTTAAAAAAACCCACCCTGTTTTAGAGGACAAGACAAAATGAAGACATTCAGAACCTATAGCTACTTAAATTCTATATATCTGTTATATAGAAGTTCAAATATCTGAATAAATAAAAAAAAATCATTAACCCTCCTAGTACCTTTCTGCCATTAGGCTTAAACATTATTATCAGTAACCTATTCAAGCCAGCAACATTCAACTGAAAGCAAAAAGCAAGCATTTCAGAAACTGAACTACTTTTAGCTTTGAAGATCCTCAGGACTTCTCAAACATATCAAAATGCTCTCTGATACACACACCTAATTGTATATTTTCTACATGAGTAAATACAGAAAAGACCTTTTCATGGGAAGAAAATACTTTTGTAACAGTAATCATAATCCTAACTTGTTCAGAAACACTTCTTTCTCCATTACACAAACAAGAACTCAGATTAAGCATTGGCATAAGTTTTTGTCTGTGTCAGACATATATTCAAATTCCAAATTTCCAACACAGAAGTATGTAACCAAAAATTTCTGACAGAACCCAATGGGACAACTGACATAAATAAAATTTTCATACGTGGAAGTAGTCAGAGAATCAAAATTTACTTTGGAAATTTTGTCTTCGTTGCTGTTTTAAATGATTTTGTTTGGGTTGTGAAGTAATACTGAGTTTTGATTAAGTGAACATTTGTGAGGCCTTACATTGACACACAGACTTGCAGATAAGGGTACCTAAGTCTAAGACAAACATAAAATAAAACAGTTTCACTAAGTAACTGTAAATTGAAGTTACATAGTATTGATCAGACCAAAGATAGGAATTTTTCTGTATTTCATCATAGATGATTATATAGAGCAGTAAGTAATTCTCAAACTTGTAAACTGCAAATGAGGCAAAAATAACACATAATTTAACATTAAAGAAAATTAAATCTGAGTTATTTGGACAATTGCTCATAAAATAAAGATAGATTGATGAGATGGGAGTTTCCTTCCTCCAAAATTAAAGCTCTGATCCTAACTAAATCTAACAAAAACTTCTTAGTAATCCAAGAAGTCTTAAGAAATATTTAATTACAGATAACACTTGGTATATAAAATATACTGAAAATTATAGAACACATTCATTGTATAAAATTATGCATGGATAAAAAAATATTACCCATCATAAACACATTCAATTATATCTCTAAAAACTGGTGGATTTAGAATCATTACCTTAACTACTTCTCGTATTTTAGAAAAAACTTTTTGCAAGAGAGTAGTAACTTTATTCTTTAGGAAAAAGTATTCTTAAGGAGGAGTTAATGGATGTGTTAGTACAATATGCATTAGTAGACTCTTACCATTAAAAATTTATTAAGTAATATATTGCATGATAAAACTAATAGATTCTACTGTTCAACATGATAATATGGCACATTGCCACTTACTTGTTGGAAGTTATTACTTGTCAGGCCAAAAAGTTAAAAATAAACATTTCAAACCAATCAGAAATTGTCAATAAGAAGATGAAGTTCACTTTATGACTTAAATTACTCTGCTGGAAAACTTAATTATATAAGCACTGCCTAATTACAGGACAAATCCTGTCTTTGAGATAAGGTGCATTTTAAAAAATTAACTGAAAACAAGGAAACAAAAAAATCCCTAAACAAACAAACAAACAAAAATCTGAACAGGGTGGTGTCCCAGACACACACATACATATAAAAGCATGTTTATACAGGCATGTATTTGTGTTACAACTTTACACTGATGATGCTATAGGTAGAATTTTTTTTCAAAGTTCCTACCTAAAACATAATTTTCTTTGACAACCATGAGGATTTTGCTTGAGGTGTTACACCTGCAACAAAAAAGCTACAAAACCAAACACACTTCGTCACTGCCTCACAATGTAAGAATGGAGAGAGGAGAAATGCAGACCATGTGATTCTCCTTAGAAAATCAATAGCTATTTAGAAGAGTACAATATTTTTCTTTAAAAGAAATAAACACACTGAAGAACAATAGCTTAGATCCCTTTGCACACAACCGAGCTCTGTACTCAAAATAAAAAGCAGCTTTCAAAGCAAAGGCAGGCAGTTTGATTCAGTAATGTGTAGGGAAAACAGAATGACAGGGAAACATAAAATTAAAATAAAAAATATGTAACTGTTACCTCATTTTTAAACATGAATGTTATAAACTTGAAGAACCCATCAATATATAATATTTAAAATAATTGCCACCACCAGTATTGACTACATTGCATGATATGTTTGGATGGATGTAAGGCAAAAAAATCCACTTTTAAAAGACCAAGAATAATTTCATCACTTTAAAAATGAAACAACCTTAAGAAACAGCCAAAGCTGTTACTGATAGAGATGATATCACCAGCTGAGATTTGAAACACCTTTGTAGCGGGGATTTTTCTTCTGCATGGTAGGCCAATAAACAGTCTCTAACAGGAAAAGAAAAAACATACAGTGTAAAGACATTACATGCTTCCAAAAAAGTAAAATCAATGGAAGAATTTTCATTCACTTCAAAACCATCAAATATACTGATTAGGCAATTTTTCCTTTGATGCACTTTTCATTATCACTAAAAGAAGATATTTATACTTGGGAATAAATGATTCAGCATAATATTAATTCTTTGAAAGTGGTTCAAGTTGTTTGATGCTAGTGTAGGCATTTCTTCCAAATTTGAAAACAGAAAAATGTACATATTCTCGAATTTTGAGCTTAATGTGAAGAATATTGTAATGTAGACATTTTGGTTTGTTATAAATTACCAGATGCCATCTAACCAGGTGTGCAGCACTGTACACAACCACAAATAAACTCATGTAACCACATCATTACATCACTTATAGAGTTGTATGTATGGCTTCAAATAAAAAGATGAGAAAACTACTTAAAAGTGGATATTTTATAAATACTAGATAAACTTAATGACATATTCAATTCAACTTAGCAAACTGCCAACCTGAAAATGCTTTTAAAATGTTTAATTTTCCATATTTTAAAAATGAATTTACAATGATAAAATTGTATCATGGCTGAAGAGTACCAATGCTGAGAACAACCCTGTTATAATTTTCAGCAGAAAGGAACTGCCACTGGGACTAACAGCTTTAGTATAGTTGTAACTAAAAGACTGATTAGCTCACCTAAGCTCAGCATTTAGAAAGTGAACAAATCTTTGTCATTACTTGTAATAATTAATTGCATAATTAAATACCATTATGAATTCAGTATTTTAAAACTAAATTCAGATATCCAAAAGAAAGACCTTTCTAAGAACTCTTGCCTTTGTCAAAAATACATTTGTTATGTGTCTATTCATCCATTTGACTGGACAAATTAATTGCTATAGTTGTAAAGTTACAGAAAGTCAATTTCAGGCCAGTTTTGCCATGTGATATTATGCCAAATGTAAAAGGTAGAGGCTTAAAATACTGGAATATTAATGCCCCTCAATCCATATTCAGCCACTTGAAAACTGGATTTGAGCCCAAAATTTTTTTCCTAGCAACTCCAACCCAAAATTTGTATTACTGTATTAGAAAAGTTGAAGCATTGTATGACTGGACTGATTTTCTGGTGATTACATGGATATAGCATTTATCTTTTACATATGCTCTATGAAGAACTTTTCTTTCATTCCAAGCCTAAAAGCTTACATGGAAATTATTTGGAAATATTACATGGAAATATTCTTACATCACAGTAAAGACAATTTTAATTAAAGAAATAAAGGTAGATATAAGTGTAGATGTACATATATATGTATATATGCATACTTATATATATGTACACATACACTTTCATATATATATATACACACACATATATGTTTTTTTTTTAAAGTACAGATGGTAAAAAATACAAATATTTAAAATAATAATCTAGTTGGCAATTAAACACTGTTTTCAGAAATTCATAAATTGGACTAGACTTTTACCTTTCAAGTTTGAAGAATTTAACTCAGTGCTTTTGCTCTAAGCATTTTTGAATAAAGTTGATATGAAGTCTGACAAAAGCAATCTCATACCTTTTCCCCTTCCTCAAATATGAACATAAACTTTTTGCCACAGAAATGGTACAAAATTACCAAACGTGTTAATAATCTAGTATTCACAAAATCAGATATACTGTTGAAATCATGAGAAAAAAATATTTTATTACATTAAATATTGAACTACACAATTATTATTTCAACCTTTTATCTTATCCCAGTCTGGACATTTTTGGAAGATCACCCAGAACCATGTCATGATATACAAATAGTAATCTTGTGTCCAGCCAGGAAAAAAAAAATCATTTATGTTTGACATGGTAGGAAGTTTTCTGCAAAATTTAAAAATACTGTAAATATAAGCTTGCAAAATTGCAGCAAAAGTAGTTGCATCTTCCATGGCAGAAACACCACAAAGGGAACAATTTTTATCAATAGGTATTTAATCTAATTCCGGGTTTTGGGACCAAGTCCACAGAATTAAAAAGAGGTATATTGTCTGTTCATGTGGTTCTTCATTCTGAGGAGCCACATGTTTATCTGTGGATGTAAACTGTACTTCCCATATAATCAGGACAATATGAGTCCAAGATAAACTTTACAGTGCCATATCACTGAACACATCAGTGTTTAGTTAATTTGTCAGCAGATTGGAAATAGATGAGATTCATTTTAGAGATACATAGCAGCACTACTAATGTTTGTAATTACTGTATTCAAATTTTTACTGTACAAAACAAAAATACTAAGAGAATGGCTTATTTCAATGACAAAAAGCCAGACTTACAGGAGCAAGGTAAATATTTTGCAAGTTCCTCAAGTCAATGGAATCCAGTTGTGTACTCACATAACTAGAAGCAAAATGTGGCCCATTAGCTGTAAGTTAAGTAGTTAATTTGATAACCATTTAATTACAAACTTCATTACACTTTATTTCTTTGTATATTCAATTAACTAGATGCCTCTTGTTCCTAGGACCTAAATATGCGTTTTTCTCTGCCCCATCTCTGTTCTGTTCAGTGTTTTAAGAATAAACAATTATTCTAAAGTGTAACAGTGCTTAGCATTTCTGGAGTATCATCATAGTGCTAGAAATTCTGAAATGTAACTGAATAATGAACAGGAAAAAAATACATCGCAAAAACTTGTAATATTAGGATACTATTTATGCATAAATGGAAGAAACCACAAATATGTAAGACAGTATTGCTGGACTGTAAGGAGATCTGTGTGCTCTCTTTTCAGCAAAACACATTGCAAAGCTTCTTAGAAGGGTTGGGAAAAACAAATAGTGTGGCTGCCCCATTCGGATTGCTGCTATCCTGCCCACTTCTCTCACAGAAACGCCTCACTCATCTACTCCTCCATCCTCTTGTCATTCCTTAGCTTGAGGTCCTGCATTTTCCAGGGTAAGTGGATGCTGCAGAATAGAGGTGCAAGTTCTCTACAATCAAATAATCAATAGAAATGTGACCACTGTTTGAAGGCTGACAGCTATGGCATTGTGTCTGCCATTCACTTCCTCTTCTCTCCCCATTTTTCTTGTTTAATGCCAGTAGTGCCAATTGCATTCTCAGTTCTGCATAAGACAGCAAAAGATTTCAGCCTCCTTCTCTGGTTTGGAGACGCTGTAATTCAGTATGCCACTCTGTAACCTAATGAAAGGCTATTCAGGTTCCCTGGAGACACTGAGCAATATAAAGAACCTGCCCTCTAAAAATGAAGGAGTTCTTGTTTACCCTGTCCTTCAGGATGTAGTGCCTTAATGGACTCGGCCCCCTGAGAGGGAACCATATGCATTAAACAGACTCTTAAGTTTCTGTAAGAAACAACATGCTGGTCAGACATTTTAGCTCCAGCTAAACAGAGATCTAAACAACCTACAAAACCAGGATTTTGCCTTCGTTTTTTCCAACAACCACAATTAGCTATTCTTGCCTTTCCAGATGTATCTTCTACATTGTGTTTACCACAGGCCATAAGCTCATTTTTATGCTCTTTAACCATTTTTAAAAATTACTTTAATAACTAAAAAATAACTAAATTATTATGTGATATGAGAAAAGGTACCACTGTATCTGAATTCCTCTAAGAAATACCTATAACTTTATAAAAAAGATAAAACATAGGAAAACATTAAGAAATTAAATATTACAGTATGCAGACTCAACTGAAGATGTTTTCACAACCTTAAGTGACCATTAAAATACTGGATGGTAAAGATATATGTATTAAAAATAAAGGTGTGAGAATGTGGGCTCTAGAACTACTAAAGTGGAAGCTGAATTTTTGTCAGACTTTAAACTGATGAGAGGACTGACATAACATCTGGTGTTTCAAACAGTGTGTAGGAATGTCTAGAAATTCCAGGCTATATCTTCGGGGATTAACCACTTGAAATTCAGCTCATTTTGTTAAAGATGAGAGTAAAATATGAAATAGGGAAGGGAAGGGAAAGGAAGGGAAGGGAAGGGAAGGGAAGGGAAGGGAAGGGAAGGGAAGGGAAGGGAAGGGAAGGGAAGGGAAGGGAAGGGAAGGGAAGGGAAGGGAAGGGAAGGGAAGGGAAGGGAAGGGAAGGGAAGGGAAGGGAAGAGCAGGTCTCACTCATGTTTTGTTTCCAGTAATTATATTGAGAAACCAGGATTCTCTTCCACTTTTTTTTTTTTGTTTTGTTTTGTTGTTGTTGTTGTTGATCACAGAATTTCATGCATTTAGGAACTTTTGAAGTAAAATGTGAGACCACATGAGTGATTCAGTAAGCTCAATATTACTTGTCAAAACACAAAAAAAAAAAAAAAGAGGGGAATATCACTTTATCAACTGACCTAAACCAGTCTTATAATGAACCTAAAATAATATTCAGAATTCTCAAAATAGGGTGGATTTTTCTTCAAACAAATTATTTTATCTCTTATCCTCTTTTTGAATCAGAGGGACATCTCCCTTTGCCAATTTCTATTCCCATCTACTTTTTCTTACAATAATTATCCACAGATGATATATCATTTTAGCCATTGAGTGGGAACTCCTACTTCCATTGAAGTCCTCATTCACAAGTAGCCCTTTCAGATAAGTCTCAGGATGATTACTGACTAAAGAATATTATTTTTCATTCTGTATTATTTTTCAAGGATTTATCTTCAGGAATGCACTTTGTGTAGGCAATTGATGTAATTTAATCTTTTTCTCCAGTAACACAAGTGATAACATGTTTTTTTTTCTACTGAAGGTGAGTTGTCAAAAAGATTTAAAATAATTGCTCTGGTTGTAGAGTAGGCCATTAGAAAAATCCTTCATTAGCAGTTATCAAATGCGTGTAGAACACATGGAAGCAGCAGTACTACCGACCTCAGAAATGGCAGTGTCAGAATGCAAACATAAACAGAATGTCAGGGGATTTCTTTCAGCTATTTCTTACAAATCCAAGCAATTCCTGCTCATTTACTCATTTGCGGATGCTGCCTCTTTGTGGCAGAATGCCATGCAAAATGTACCTTTCACACGAAGGACCTCATCCTATGCTTGTACTGACACCTATGCAAACTCATAAACATGAGTTTAGAACCACACAGGGAAGATATATATACACATGAACAGACACAAAGTTTGCAGGAGCTTCTCCTTCAATCCTCTCTGAGCTAGCCTTTCTCTGGCAAAGTCAGTGAGGCTGAAAATTTTCTTACTTATACCCATTTAACAACAGCATGCCTCTACTGAGCTTAAATGGAAGAAGAACCGGGCCACTGGTTTCAGCAATAGTTATAAAGACAGCAATTCAAAGTTAGGGCTCCAAAACTGCACCTCGGGCAGCCACACACACATCTCTCACTGGTGTCAATGGGAAGTCTGCAGGATAGAGAGCAGTGAACAGAATAGCCATTTGTTATGTCTCTTGTGACAAAAGAACACTCCTCAACTCTGCATTTCAAACTGAAATAACACTCCACTTACTAAACTGTCCAAGCTAAATACAGTCATGCTTGTTTTTTGAGTTTTTTTTTTTTTGCTTTTGCTCGGTGTGGGTGGCATAGAGGGAAGAACACACGCCAAGAAAACATTTTTCTTGAATTCCAACAGACCAGTTATACAGCTTTGTTTTTGTAGAAAGTGACAGATTGTACATGGGTAGGAAATTCAGAATAGAACAGAGCCCTTTAGCAATAAAAAGATGTACTAGTGAGCAACTCTGGAAACAATATTAAATATAATAACCTAATGAAGAAAGAAAAGACGTGAAATATCACTTACCCTGTTCCATATATTAAAGAACACCTCAGTAAGGAAACAAAATACAAATATAAAACTATCCTGTTCAATATGTTGTTGAAACATATACCCCTGTGCTGCTTTCTGACCCATGTTATATATGCTGGTAATTACCACATGTCATGTTTCAAAAACAGAGAACACATTATGTTTTGCCTAGAAACCTTAGATCTTTCTGATGAGCCAGAATTGCTAGTAAAGACAATCCAATGTACAAACAGATTATTTTGGCCAGAAATTTTAAAGTTCAGATACTCATTACTTCAGGATCTTACATTTGAAATATTTACCAAGTGTTTATTCAGAAACTATTAAAAAATCACATGTGCTGGGATACATATGAGACATCAGTTGTCCCATCTTACAGTGATGCTGTGTTTATGAATATCCTTGCCATTGCCTGCTGCCCAAAGGGGTAAAGACATTTTATAGAGATGTGTACAGTCCATCATTTGGTCTTTCAGGATGCCAGTAAACATGTGGATCTGTACAAGTGCAATTGTACTCGACTAAACAATCATAAACTGGCTACAACAGTTGCAAAATCATTATATTTTGGTTAACTAATACAAAATTAAAAAAAAAGAAAAAAATGAAACCGACAAATCAAAAATGAACCTTTTTTTACTGATAAAATGAATGCCTTCTACATGTCCCTCACTAGTTTGCCCAACCAGACTTCTGAGCAGGAGGTTGCTAAAAGACACATTTTTTCAATAGAGAAACATGATTTTTTTCCTACTGTGATCAGATTTTATGTCTCCGATTGTCTGTTAAGATTTGGTCATAACTGGCATTATCTGTAGAGATTTAAAAGGTCTTTCTGATACTATATCAGATTTGGGAAAAAAGCTCTCACTCTAGTGCAATACTTTAAAGCAATCCACAACCTTTGGACCCCATCCTAAAAAAAAAAAAAAATGAAAGAAAGAAACACTCAAACATTCCAGTATTTTTACTTGTAAGAAGAATTCTGCATCCTCTTTCCTAATTTTTTGGGCTTTTGACAAACTTTGCCCAATAAGTGAGTCTCTAGAACTACACGCATTGGTAAAGTTGTTCATGTGCTTAAGTGCCTGCAGGATGAAGGCCTAAGCTGGGACTTCTTTCACAAATAGAGATCCTCAAGTGAGTTAAAAATTTGCAAGATTAGGCCCTAAAATAGTGAAGGAAAGAGAAATGCTAATGTGCATATAAAAATAGGTGCTACAATAAAATATTTTTTTATATTTCATCAATAAGTTATTTTCACTAACCAGTTATGGATCATATATCTCTGCACTCTTTAATGATTTGTCCACATCTACAGTGATCCCTTTAAAGATCATAATATATATTTTTTTTAATTCAAAAGTCCAGAAAGTATACAAACACATCCTTAAAAAAAGGAAACCTTGTATTAAAGTCGGGGTGTGCTAATCTCTCCATAAAAGCCATTTAGACTCACCCATGGCTAAAAGGGGAAAATGTGCGCTGTACTCTTCAACCAGAGAGAAAATTAAACTAAAGAATGTCTGAAAAAAAAAAATTTAAAAAAAAAAAAAAAAAGCACGACCTGAATCCTGAATGTGACCCGACAAGAAACCATGAAACATCCTGCCACCTTCCCCAAACACACATGGACACCTGCACAATGCCAGTGTTGTGCCCATTTTACACAATAGGTGGTTTCCGACTTCCAAATGCAGTAACAGAAAAGAAAAACCAAAACCAAACCAAACTGAACAGCACACCCTTTCAGAATCATTCCCCGAAGCTGAAAAGTCCTGTGCCAAGGCACTTCGCCCTACAATAAAATGAATTAAAGGGGGAAAAAGAGGAGGGGGGCGAGGTGTGTGTGTGTAGGGAGGTCAGCATTTACGTTTCTTTGTTTTGCGTGTGGTTGTTAAATACAAATACTCTAGAGAAGGAGCTGCTGAGACTGGCGAGGGGACGGGGGGCGGGGGGGCTGTTTCTCAGAACTGGCTGAATGTGGTCTGTTTTTCCAGCACTTCGAGGTAGTCCGGCTCTGCGTTTAGTTTTGCTTTTAGCTCCAGATACTCGTTCCTGTTGGGCTCTACATAGACAGTACTCGGGGGGCTGTAGAGCACCGTCTCCCGGAGCCTGGCGTCCCCCGGCCCCGGGTGCAAGTACTGGTGGGCACGCCTAAGGTCATAGTTGGGGGAGTACGTGTAGGCGGCGGGGAGCTTGGGGTAGTCGGGGAGGGTGGAGCCGGGTGTACCCAGCGTGGAGGGGGAGTGTTTGTCGGGCTCCAAAATGCCCCTGTAAAAGCGGTCGGCGTCTTGCACCGGCGAGAGCAGCTCCTCCCGCGGCTCGATGGTGCTCACGCTGTACGCGGGGCTGCGCGCCGGCGCATCCTCCCCGCCGGGCGCCGGGGGCGCCGGGGGCGGCGGCGCGCCCCCCCCGGGCGGCAGGGGGTGGCTGCTGTAGGTGACCTTGAGCTCGTGGAGGTCTTTGTAATCCTCGCCCGAGTTGCCTTCCCGGGAGCGGTAGATGGGGTTCTTGCACATGTGGCCCAGGGGGTGCGGGATGTACTCGTAGACGTGGCCGGCGGGGGTCTTCACCTTGGGCAGCGCCGCGCCCCCGCCGCCGCCGCTGCCGCCGCCGCGGTGGGGCGGGTGCTGCTGGAGGTGGGGGTGGTGGTGGTGGCCGCCGCCGCTGTAGACGCTGTACTGCATGTTGAAGGAGCTCACGTCGGAGTTGTTGGCGCTGGCGTGGTCGCCCTGGCCCTTCTTGCGCCGCTTCATCACCAGGACGAAGAGCCCCGCCGCCACGAAGACGGACATGATGAAGACGAGCAGCAGGCTGAGGATCAGCACCGAGAGCGGCACCGAGGAGCTGCCGGCGCCGCCCGCGGGCGCGGAGCCGCCCGCCGCCGCCGCCGTGCCATTGAGGCGCACGGTGGAGGAGGACGGGGTGGTCCTGGCCGGCAGCTGGCCCGGGGACGGCGTGGGCGTGGAGACGACGATGTCCGAATAGTCGGGGCACAGCAGCTCCGCCCGGACGGCCCGCATGTCGCTCTGGGCAAACTTCTTAGGGGACTCGCAGATCACCTGGTCCACCAGGACACCGGTGTTGAGCTGTTCCAGCCACAGCTTCATGCCCACCACGTCGCAGGTGCAGTCCCAGGGGTTCTCGTGCAGGTCGATCTGCAGCAGGGATTTCAGCTGGTCCAGCACCCCGCTCACCGGCAGGTAGGAGAAGTGGTTGCTCCGCAGGCTCAGCCTGTAGAGAGACAGACCAGAAAAAATGTTCCCTGGCAAAGACCTCAGCAGATTGTTGTTCAAAAACAAGAGCTGAAGGTTGGGGACAGATTCAAAGGTGCCTGCCTCTATCTCCCGGATGACGTTGTACTGCAGGAAGAGGTACTGCAGGCTTTGCAGCCCATAGAACAGCTCTGGGCTCAGCCGCTCGATCCGGTTCCCATTCAGGTACAGCCTTCGCAAATTAGTTAAATCCCCAAAAGCCCGGTCCTGAATGACCGAGATCCGATTATTGCCCAGATGCAGCAAATCCAGCCCAGTGGCATCCACAAAATCTGCCCTGCGTACCAGCGCAATGTAGTTTTCCGTCAAATACATCTTCTTGGGATTATAGGGTTTGGGCTGCAGTTCAGAAATGCTCTCAATCTTCCTCTCCTGACAATTGACATTGAGGCCCAGATCAGAAATCTGCAAGTTGCAAGTGCAGGCAGTGGGGCACTCCAAAGGCACCGGGGATTTGGTCTGGTAGGCAATGCTGGGGCCATAGTTGCTGTATCCCAGGTCTTTTGAGGGCAGGCGGGAGGTGGGGCGCACCCTTGTCTTGTTGGGTTGCCGGGTCCCTTTGGGGGGCTTCAAGGGAGATTTGTAAACAGCTGAAGAAGAAGTGGCCACAGAGTTGACTGAGGCCGGGGTAGTGTGGAAATACCCTGTAGTGCTCAGTGGTGTCTGAGGTCTCATTTCATAATCAGAGATGAGCCTCCTGGGGCAAAGCTCCTGCTTAGAGACTTCATCCAAGTCTCGACCATGTAAGCGGAAAGGGGTCTCGCAAACCACATCTCCCACCAGCGCGGAGTATGAGATGCTGTCCAGCCAATCCTTTAGAGCAATCAACTCACAAGAGCAATTCCAGGGGTTTTCCTCCAGCTGCAGCTCCACCACTTTATCCATGTGCTGCAGGAGGCCCACATAGGGCAACAGCTTCAGCCGGTTACCCCTCAGGTCCAGGTGAGTTAAGGGCACAAAACGGAAAAGGTTGTTGGGCAAACTGGAGAGGAGGTTATCATTGAGAATCAGCACCTGCAACAGATGCAGTTTGCTGAAGGCATTGGGTTCAATGACGCTAATGTAATTATAATCGACCTGTAGGTATTCCAAACTCTCTAGCCCAAGGAAAGTGTCATCCCGTAAAAGTTCCAACTTGTTATTGTTCAAGTGTAGCCTCCTTAAACCTCTCAGACCATGAAAGGCCCCAGTTTCGATGTCTTGTATGTCATTGCTCCCCAGATGCAAAATCGAAGCCCCCGTGTAATTGACAAACTGGTTTGGGTACAGCCTGTTCAAAAGGTTCCCAGACAACAAGAGGTGGTAAACAGGGAACCTTGGTGGACTGATCTCAAAAAGGCTGATGATCCCTCTGTTTTCACAGCTCACTGTTAAGATGCTGTCCTTCTCCTCACAAGGACACGCATTATCACAGATTTCCCCATAATACTCGATGCTTTCTGCCCAGGAAAGGACTAGTGATGTTAAAGCAAATGCGATCGTCTGCAGCATCCAGATATGCATTTTTTTGTTGAGGTCCTGTTCCAAAGTTACTGTAGAGCAGCAAGCATACATTTTATTTCCTGTAGGGATAAGGAGAAAAAAAAAAAAGTAGCATAATAGGGTAGCCCCATAACATTTGAAATGGAAACAAAGTTTATATGTGTCTTCAGTAGGGTAGAGAATGGACTGTTCACCAACCAAAAAAACCCCCTCCTGTCACTTCTAATTCCCACACTTTTGGAAACTGGATGACATGCCTTGATTAAAGGGTTGATAGGCAACTCCTTGTGAGTCAAATGCCCGCGGTGTCTAAAAAGGTGAGGTCACAGTAGGAATTGTTCTGGTTCTGTTAGTGTGGGGTGAATTTCAATGCTTCTTTGGATTTCCTGTTCACAACCAGCCCCATAAATATACATAAAATGGCTGTCAGTTCAGTTTCACGTTTCTAATTTAAGAGAAAAGAAACACCATTTTACGAGGTTTCCCACCTCCCCTATTACCCAGCTCCCTCTTCCCTTCAGAGCCTCCCTGCTGAACCCGTGCACCAAGGTCTTCCCCTCCTTTTACCTTGATTTTAAACTGGTGATGGAAATACCATGGTAGGAATCCAAAGAAAAAATGCTCAGTGCTGAAAATGGCATCTTAATTCAACAGAGGGAACACTGACACATTCTCCACATCACACATTTTTTAAAACTCTTTTATGCTGATGGTTTTTTCCCTAGCTATACATTTACAAAGCACACACCCACCCACACAGACATGCACACACGCGCGCACACACACACACATGCACACACGCTCGCACCCCCAGATGACTTTTGTGCAGGAATTCTTCTGTAATGAGATTAAATACATTAACCTCCTACTTCGGTGCACTTAACAGCTCTCTTCAATTATGGAAATTGTGCATCTTTACAAAAGCAAGTAATATTAATTGATATGTGATCCCCTCCCAAGTTATACACAATGTAACAGAGCTCATTTCAAGCAGAAGTCTCCTGTTTTCTCTCACACACACACACATACATACTCTCAAAAGAAATGTTTTAACCACTCACCCAAAATTTGTGAAAAATGTAAAACATGCAGGTCATCTTCAGAGTCTCATCCATATCTGACATAGCGCTTATTCCCAATGTTCTGCAAAACTAGCCTGGTAGAAGTGGAGAGATCTAAATAGGTCTCATGAAAATATCTCATTGCCAACACTCCAAACATCAGAGTTACTGATTATAAGCAGCGATGGCTGTCAGTGCTCTTCATCCTTTAGGGAAGAAGACACCCAGGCTGATTAAAAGCCAAGGAGGGTAGAAGGGAAACCCTACCATTGACCTACGTCAGTAATTTAATGTCCGAATTCCACCTAGCTGGAAACAAATCCTTTCCTTTTTTGCTGTCTTTCTGACTCCTCGTGGCTTTCTTCTACTTCTACTAGTCTAAAAGCAATATGAATAGGGAAAATAAATGCATTTTGTGTGTCGGTAGGGGAAGACTAATAAATCATCAGGTTTAAATGCTGGGATCTTGGACCAGGCTTGCATTTTCTATCGTCCACCTCAGAGCTCCAATCCTCATGACACAACTCTGGTTTGGAGGAACGCATCCTAAAAAACGAGAAGTCTCAGTACTGCAAGACATCTCCTGTGGCATCAGGTTCAAGGCTGCAAAACTAGCACTTGCAGCAAAGGCAATCATGCAGCAAGAAATCGGAAGTCTCCGTGAATCTCTCTAATTCTGACCAGACGTCAACTGGATTGGAATTACTCAAAGCAAAAAGGCTTCACTGCATAAAGGCAGCAGAAATCTTACTCAAAGGCATGTATCTAGCATATTTTTTCTCAGCTCGATCAGATCCATTCATCCATTAGCCAACAGTTCTTCGGAGAAGAAAAAAAAAACCCCACAATGACAACCTATTGAAAACCTGCCCGGTCAGTGTTAAACTCCCAGGCATTTTACAACTTTAATTCAATTATGGTTAGCAAAAGAGGCAAATACAATTTTCCCTCCCTCTCCCTTTCCCCTTTCTCTGACAAAAAAAAAAAAAAAAAAGGCGGGGGATGGGAGGTAAAGAAAATAAAGTTGTAGCTGGCTATATGCAAGGTTGCAATCCCGCCCTGGAAACCCCTGTGTGATGACTGTGTGCTGCTGTTCGCCAGCTCCCTACAGAGGTTCAGATTGAGGGGGGGCCAGGGGGTGGGGGCGACGGGGGGGAGGGGAGAAGAGGAAAGGGGTTGCATCGGGATTTTTCTTGCGTGTGTGTGTGGTTTTTTTTTTTTTTTTTTTTTCCCCGAAGAGTTCAACCCTTAGATTACCGCACTGCATATCCGGCTGGAAGCAGCTTTCAGTACCGCCGACAGCAGCAGCGAGCGAGCGAGCAGCTCCAGCCGGACACTGCCACCCAACTGAGCAGCACCCCGAGTTGGGAGAAATGGCTTTCGCGAAAGGGGGGCAAGCGGCCGGGAACTGGGGGTGGAAAGCAACAGCAAGGGAAGACCCGGCGGGGAAGGGGCGGGGGGGGGGGGGGGTGGGGGGGGGGGGGGACACGACGAGGAAAGGAAGGGAGGAAGAAAGGAGGGAAAGAGAGCGAGAGAAAAGTCAAGCCCGGTACTTACTTCGCCCGAAATCTCCAGGGCCCAAGCATGGTGGCAGCCCATGAAGATGCCGACCCGCTGCGCGGGCGCTGCGCGGAGCCGCCGGGGCGGCGGAGGCGAGGATGGCAGCGCCGGGGAGCTCGGTGCGGAGCGCGCACGGGCACCCCCCGCACGCAGGCGGCGCCGAGGCACAGCGCGCGCTCAGGGGCGCGCACCCGCGGCCACACGCGCCGCACACTCACACTCACACACACGCGCGCGCGCGCGCCCGGGGAGCCGCGGGGGCGCGCCCGCCGCGCACGCGCGCTCGGCGGCGCGCGCCCGCACGGCGGGGGCGTGGGCGGCCGGCGGAGCGCCGCGCTGTGCCCGCGCCGCCGAGCGCAGCGGGGAGGCGGAGGGAGGGGAGCGAGGGCGGGGCGGCGGCGCCGAGCGGGCGCGGGGGGGCGCGGAGGGAGGCGGGAGTGCAGGGGCCGCGGCGAGGGCCGCGCTGCTGGGCGGGTGTCCCCGGGTGACGGCGCGGCGGCGGCAGCAGCAGCCGGCCCCGTGGGTCGTCGCGCAGCGAGCCCGCACCGGCCCCCAGCGCACGGGCACACGCAGGCACACACATGCCGATACGAGCGCGGCGCGCCCGCCCCGCCACTCCTCCGCCCCACGCACCCCGGGGCTGCGCTCGCACTTTCGCTAGCACGGGCCAACTTTCCCCTCGCTTCTCCACCGCTCCGGACGCCGCTCCCGCTGCCCGCACCATTCGGGCGGAGGTCCGCGGCCGTCCCGTCCTCTCCCGCAGCGCTCGCTGGCCGCGGCCGGGCGGCGCGGAGCGGAGCCGCGGGGAGGGGGGTGGCGGGAGCCGCTGGCGCGGCGGTCGGCACTGCCGCTGCTCGCTGTGCGGGAGCCGCCGCAGCATTCGCGAGGACCGCGGAGAATTGGGCAGTCGCGGGGAAACAAAGTGTCGGGTTTCGCTACGCGCATTCTCCGACATCGTGGACGCGGGCGTGTGTCCGAGGCGTTCAGCTTCACTTTTCTCCTCTGCCCACCCCAGAGGCGGGTCGCGGAGGGAGCCGGGGCACGGATGCAACAGCGGCATCTAAGAGACTCTGGCCGCCCCCCATGCCCGCCGGGCCGCTCCCCGCGGCAGCGCCGGGGCCCGCGGAACCGGCCGCGCTCCCGGGCGCTCCAGGCGCGGTGCGGCGCCTCCCGTCGCCGCCAGGTGGCAGCGCAGGGCGGCGGATGGGCCGCGCGGGGCGCAGCGCGGCGGGGACCGGGGAGGCGACGCGGCGGGGAGCGCGTTCCCTTTGTTCCCGGGGGATGACCGCCGTCATTAGGTGTGCATGCGGGGCCACACAGGTTTTTTTCGGCGCCAAGGCTGGCTGTAGCTCTGGGGATGCTTTTTTTCCGGTTAAACTTCGGGTTTTATTTTTGGCAAAATTGCGTGTTTGGCTGATCTTAAAAAAAATGATAATAATTAGAAGGCGGTAATATTGCGTACGTGAAAAGATGTAAACGTGTTCGCATTTGCGTATTAACTGCTGCTTTGTGCTCTCTAGATTGTAGTACATAAATCTAGTAGTACATAGTACATAAATGTAGTAATTCTAATGGTGTTATGCACACAGGAACACATGGAGTATACCCCGTGTGTACAGCACAGAGGTTGGAATCCAGCTTTAACTAAAGGTAATGCTAGATGTATTTGTCCCTCTGTTTTTCCTGTTCTAGTGTGAACATTGAACAATACTCTGTCTGTGGTATGTGATTTCTGCACATCGGTATCTTCAGCAGACCTCTGTTAACTCATATCTTAACATCCCAACATGCTAAACCCAAAAATGATTGCTAAAAAATAGCCTTTTTTGTAATGCTCAGCCTTCCCTAGTAGGTATATTCATCTTCTCTGCAAACATAAAAAGAGTGTGACTCAAATCTTGTTTCCCTAGGCCTGAAATAAGTAAGATCTGTTTTTTGGATGGAAGACAAATTTCTTACATGAACCAGGTAATTTTCCTGGCCTTGTAGAAGCTCTTGGAAATCTTCTCAGTGGGACAAAGTACTTAGTTATAGTCTTAAAGGATCACTGAGTTTTCTATTTTGGTGCAAACCCAGTTAATTCAGTGGAAGGTTTTGAATGGCTTTAGATTGTGTTCCAAGGTGCTAGTTTCAGTCAGGAAAAAATACCAAACCCCACCCCATACAGGTGTGTTGGTGGGTTTTTTTTTCCTCCTACATACGCTCTTTTTAGCTTTCTAATATGCAACATAGAATTGATGATAGTAGAACAAAAAAAAAATCACAGATACTGAACAGATCATGAGATGTCTTGCAGGAGTTTCTTATAGCCTCACTATTTTTGAAAAATATCTTTCTTTTGAATTAATAATTCTGCATTTTGAATATATGGGATTCTATGCATATATGCTTGCATTTTTAAGGCCTATCGTATTTATAGCATCTGCCTGTTGTTCTCTAAGCTATTTTTCTTTCTGACACACAAAATTAGGCAGACATAAAAACTTTTTTATTCATAACAGCAAAAGATATTTTACATAACCTTGTCAGCTAGGCTGAGCTTAACTCCTTCCTGAAACTGTTTTGGAGAAGTTGACATTTCATAACTATGAAATCATGTTAAAAGCTATCATGTTGAAGTCAACATTGTAGATATATTTCAGTTTAATTTTTCTGATCCTGAACTAGTGAGATATTAAAAAGCATAATCAGTAGAAAGTGTGATTTAATCAAATCTTACTTTCAAGTTGTTACACTGCTAGATGGTTTTAGTAGCATGTGGGAGATTTAAATAGTTATTAGTGTAGAACTATCATGCTGTTCTTCCATTCATTCTTATTCTTAGTCCAAAAGTATTTCTTGCAGTAAAAAGTTATATCTGAATATTTGAACTAGAACTGTCATTTTAAACCAAAGCAAAAACATCAAACAGTAAATAATACTAAATTTGTGTGGGTTTTTTTTATTGTAGTGTTGCCTCTTGCTAATTTATTTTTCATCTACCTTTAATTAAACTGGGAAATCCTAAACTCCTTTAAACTGAAATATTCAGAAAGAAAGTTGGAAATAACTAATATAATCCTCATACGGAATACAAGTAGAGGGACCTGAGTGAGGATGGAGCCAGAGTAAAGAACGTTCAACAAGTGCATATGAGGCATACATATATTATATGTGCAACTTCAAAGTGTTCAGGTGTACCCTCTTTCTATAGTACTACAATTTATAACATTGGCAGGAACAGTTGATCTAGCATGTGGAATCAGACATGGGAAAACAGGAATTTGGAGGTTCCAAACTTGTTGAATGAAATATATTGGAACAGAAGGATAGGCGCTCTTTATGAAAGACAAAGAAAGTTTGAAATAATTTCATGGTCATGCACTAAAACACGTTAAGGAGTGAAAACTGTTAACAATAGTGCAATAAAAATGTTAAATTTGAGAGTGAAGATGAGATAGTGTCCACTTGAAAAAAAATCATTGAGCAAAGGGTAGGAAAAATACTAGGATAGGATGCAATCTATTATGAATCTGCTGGTCCAGATTGGAGCTGG